AGGGGTCCCAAAAGGGGGCAGTGACCCTGGACGTCGCCTTCGACTGACAGAGGGGCCGCGGGGACGAAGGTCATCCACATCGTGAATCACCGCCTCTGTGACGGTAGAAGTCGTCCTACCTGGTCCATGGTGTGGGCGGAGGTCCGAGTACTGGTGAGCGGGACGAGCCAACCATGAGTGTGTTATTACGCATTGCATCCGACTTCAGTCAAAGAGCTTCAATCATAAGTTTGCATCACAATGTTAGCGGGAATTTTAAATGCACCCAGATACCAAATTTATCGCATTGTTACAAGTCATTGAAACAGAAAGTATACGAAGCATTTTTTTTAAAGTACTGTATCTTGTACACCTTCATCGTCACCGTTGAAAATTGCCACTTTCGATATGTTTATGAACAATTCTCGTTCACCATTCAACATGGCGGTCAGCGTATGTTCGGACTTTTCAAAGTTCCCGTGTTGAGATCCCGTGGTTCGTTACGTCCATTGGTGCTGCGCAAAATGAACAAAAATCAGTGCGCCGGATTAGCTCACCATATAGCCAGCAAAGAGGTTCAGTAGATTGGTGGACAATAAGTAAACGTGAAAAAGACAATGTATCAAAAATATAGTGAGCTATCCAAGACAAGGAATTCATCACAAGATAGCAAAAGTAGTAATAGAAACCGAATTATATAAAGACCTTTACGAAATTTCGGCCCAGGTTAATTATGAATCAATATTTTTTTTAGAAATTAGAATAAGCACATTTATTTTAAAATATATCAAGTCTCATGAATTAATTAATGTTCCTGTTCTCTCTTAGCCCTACCAGTGTGGGGGTGTTATTCAATATCTCAGATAAATACAACTTCTAGTGAGAGTTTCGTATTTGCCGCGGGCTCAAAGGAACGAAGTGATGGGTGTTCTGCGGTCACTGTGCGGATCTAGGCCCCAAGCCATCTACAGAGTTATACTACGTATATATTATAAGTATATATATACTATTATAATCATTAATAACCAAAAAGCGATATCAAGTACTTCTGGCATAGTAAAAACAAGTAAACTAGTCATCCATTTCTTCTTTCTGCATGTTCTCCCAATTCTATTATTTATCCATAACATTTCAAACGAAATCTAGAGACGAAGAAAATAAATTAGAACTATGCATTACAATAAGCAATCGCTCCAGTCCATAGGGGTCGTCCATAAATTAATTACATAACGCTAAATAGGAGGAGGCAGCATTATGCTGCGTCACATCGGTATGTGTGTGGGGTATTAGTTTAGTGTTTTGTAATGCTGATATTTTGTTTTCAACATTTGCTGAAATAATTCATTTTTCGCACCAATATTAAAATTTGCTAAGTACATCTTTTTAAATATAAATAAATTTGAAAGTTTCATGTATAAATTGTTACAATTAAAGGAAATATCGTTTCATTAATAGTATATTGATTAAATTTGATACATTACGAAGAAAATATTCAAAATTGATGTATAGTATATTCGAGAATACAATTAAATTGGCCCATGCGTCGATGGCGGGTGCAAGGTTCTCAGAAATTTCGTCAATGCGTCCTTACTTCACTCAAAAACTGTTCCCAAACTTATAGTTGGGTGCAGTCACCATCTCCAACTAATTATTTTAATTGTAACACAATTTAATATTAACACACAAAAATGTATACAAATTGTTTTTACTATGACTATTTTTGCTTCTTGTAAACGGGGAAGGGTACTGTCATACGTTACGTAATTATTTAGGGGGAGGGTCCAAGAGCGCGTTTCGAGTGCATTACAGGGAAGAGAAGGGGTATTCAAAATATTCCAAATTTGCGATACGTCATTTATGGACCGCCCCATCTACATAGTCCCAAACGATCAGCTCGAAGTGATCGCTGCGCTTTTAATAGAGGTCAGCAATGGAAAATAGCACACTAGTTCTTCTGTGCACTCCGATATTACTAGCCCCAGGGGCACAGCAAATTGAAGAGAAAGTGCGATCACTCTCTCGTGTTCTTGCTGCTTGATGGGGCTAGTGCGTATTTGCGACGATTCTTACCGACTTCATCTTGCAAATAAATGCAAATCGGTCGTATTATTTCATTATTTGTTGAAAAGTTTCGGAAATTTTATGAAATGGAACTCCTTCCACGCTTATAATAATTATTAAGAAACAAAATAAGCTATGATGTCGCTTACTTCCAACCCAGTGAATTCAATAATAAATTCTATAAGACTAGTATTTAAATTTTTGGGGTACCTGCCTAGTAAAATGCCAGCTCTTGTTAATTGTGAGAATAATGATGTTGAACCAGAGCTATCTTATCATCTGCTTGAGACATCGTTTTAGATGCCGAAGAAAATACTAAACATCTTCAAGGATATACTGAATCATCCTGTCATGGACCATCTGAAATCGAACAATTAGTCTCAAAGCAACCAAGAATAATGTAAATAATAAGAGCCTATTAACTACTAATTGTTATTGATTGTCGATTGTTTTATATTGTCCGGCTGGTGGAGGTGCCCCGCTGGCGGGAAGTAGCTGCTTGGGGTAAAGCCCGCAAGACGTCGTGGAGATCGGTGTCGGATCTCGCCATTCAGCAGGGGAAGATCACCGCCAATTCCCGCGATAAATACTTGCACTACGTTTACGAGACCAACGGTTTTAGAGGTTGACGCGACCGCTTGACACAAATCCATCAATCGGTCGATTGCTTTGGTATTCTCTAAATTCATGACTTATGAAGTTGAGTGCCTGTTAGTAAAAAACTTCTCCATTTTGCAACCAGCTTCCTAAGGAGCAAATCTAGTGATTACAGGTATTTCTACAACCCTTTTCTCATAATATAGAAATATAGACTGTTCCCAATAGCATCAGGTAATTGGAATCAGCCTATATTATTGAATATTATGGCACTTCCCAGTTTTTTGAACAACCTGGGAGTTTGGACAATAGTCCAGTCAAATGGAATAAGGGAAATAATTGGTAAATGTTTGATATTTGGTAACTTCATGCTTTCTGGAGCACTGAACACGAATATTAGCTTTACTAAAAATAATGTTGCCTGGAAACATGTTTTTAAGCCAAAAATTGTAAAAAAACTCCACTTTTTTAAGATTTTTTCAAAATAATTAAATAACATCTGTTTCAGAAATAATAATCCTACATGAAATTAAAGAAAATAGTATTACCTACATTTAATGTCTTTAAACCTTCTCTCCAATTAACAGTTTAGTCGCAAGAGCACCGGGAAATTCGATGATATAAGCAACTGTCATACAAATGGCACAGACTTTCCCGAATTACTTTTCTATTTCCTTTAGTCTCAGGTAGTTATTCGAACTTGCATACATATTCTTGCCTGCTTCCATCTGTCGCCCCCCAAAGTACTTTTTTTTGACATTTTCCTAATTTTTCAGTTTCCTAATTGTAGATCGGAAATATTATTTTAAGATTATTGTAAAACAGCAAAACTTCGTCAAACAAGGCATTTTTCTTTCAAACATTTTGAACCTTTTTTAATGAACTGGCATTTAAGAGCCTCTGTAAATTCAAAATTTGAAGAAAATTTTTGAGTTTTCGAAAAACATCATTAGGAGTTATTTTAAGTACTTTGACTCACAAATAAAATAGTGTTTACAAATTGCTCGAAATGAGCTTATCAACGGCGTGAGAGACTTTTCAAAACATTTACATTTGTATAATTTTTGAAAAAACAAAAAAATACACCGAAATTAATTTTACGTTATATTAAAGAGTGAAAAATCCGTTTGAAATGTTTCAAGAAAAAATTTGGAACCGTTTATGGCGTTTGAATGGCGTTTGAACGTTTCAGAAAATGTGGAGTATCGAGCTAGTTTTCGATGAACGTTATATGACATTATTTAAAGCACATGTACTCATAAATACAATAAAGTGAACAAATTGCCGCCAGTAAAAATTTTAAGGACATGTCAAAAAATTACACTTTTGTAATTAAAAAAACAGAATAGAGCAATATGGGGTTTATGTCATCTTATAGAGTGCATTTGGCACTATCCCTACCAAAAGTTTAAAAAAATAATTTCATGCTGCTTTTTAGAAAATGTTTTTGTAACTTTTTAAAACTGCACACATTGCACGCAATATTGCGCGAAAACTACTAAAATTTCCAAAAAAATATTATATGACGCATGAAAAAGAACTTACTATGAAGAACAAATTAGTGATGCCATGTCATAGGGCACAAGAAAACATTAGGAACGTTTTTGAGAAAATCTTATTTTCGTAATTTTTTAAAATTGCTCATATTGCACGCAATATAGTGCGAAAACTGGTAACATTTTCAAAAACTGTAAATGACCTTAATGAAAGAACTTACTATGGAGAACAAATGTTATTTGAAGGAAAAATCTATATCTGTAATTTTGTAGTTGTAGGAAGGCACCGAGAAAAATCATACTTTTGAAATTTTCGAAAATTCAAGGGTAACCGCGAAAATCGGACTTATGCCGTGAAATGGGAAATTAATAATTTGGCAACCGATGGAACTTCACAGACGCCTTCTTTTGTTCGAAGACCCTGGTTTTCATATTTGCTACATACAAATGGCATTAGTAGGTCTTTTATTATTACCACTCTTATTATGCTGTATGCGTTGCACGCATATTACATTGTTTCTAATGATGGAGATTATCGAATATCTTGAAAAATATCTACATTCTTTCCCATCGGGTTCAATGGCTTTATTTTGTTGACTGTTTCCATCTCGTAACTCGTCTTTCAGTCACTTTTAGAAACGATTAGCGTATTGTCGCAATTCTTTTTAAAGATGAGACACAAATTAATTATTTATGTCTCTATCGGAGCATTACTTCCTGCTTTCTTGCAGTCACTTTTTTGCCGTTTTTGGAGCATTTGCAGAAAGCTTTCACGAGCAGAGGCATCTGGTAGGAATCAAATCTCCTGGTAGACACCTCGTAGTTTGAGAGATTACCACCCAAAGCGCCATGTTCCGTTCGTTTCAGACGAGGTGGTGCCAGGAGCAGCCAATCATTCTTGTTTACAAATGAACATCGTGAATTTGAAGGTTTGGAGGGCTTTTGCGAGAGTTATTGTGATTTGTGAAGCACTGTGTTAGCCGTATCTGAAATATTAATTTATGTTGTATGATATGTAAAAATAATTCCAATAAAACATCTGGTACTTGTGATATTGTAGTATTTTTTTGTTTACGTAGAAGTCATTGTAACGTGAGTGTAGATAGTTGTAGGTTAGGTTGCCAAACCATAAATTTAACAAATAGATACGTTGGAGATCCGAAAATGTGTGAACTTCTAAGAAGCAATTTTGATGAAAGATATTCAGAAGTGGAGGCAATTTTAAAAAGTGCTGCTTTCATTGCCATTGACTGTGAATTTAGTGGACTTCTGTCCAGTCCAGAACACAAATCAAGGTAGAATATTGATATTTGACACTCTACAAAAACTTACGTTATCAAAACATGATTTGCTTGTATTTTTTCTTTTTCCAGCTTATTTGATGCTGGCTGGGAACGTTATGTTAATCTTAAAAACAATGTGCAAGAATTTATGATAATGCAAGTTGGAATGACAGCATTTGCATATGACAGAGAAGGTCAAAAGTACACAGCTTATTCTTTCAGTATACCCATATTTCCAAGAACATGTTCATCAGTTGATCGAAAGTTTTTGTGTCAAGCTTCATCCTTTGAGTTTTTATGCCACTATAATTTTGATTTCAATAAGGTAAATATCGAATTTATTTTATTTTATTTCTTATGAGAGTGAGAGTAAATATTCATTACTAAATGCACAATGTTTCAGGTTGTGTATGAAGGTGTTCCTTTTCTCAGTTATGAACTTGAATCTCAATTGAGAGAAGAATTGAAACAAGGTATTCTTTTCAGACACCTAGAAAGAACAGTGTCTATGGATGATGAAAGGAATTTACAGAAAGAATGTTCACGTGTTGCTGAATGGGCACATAGTGCTGTTGAAGGAGACATTTTGAAACTCTCTTCAGAAAGCACTAGGTATCAAAGTGGTAAACTTGCAGAGTATTTGTTACTAAAAGAACTTCGTAGAAGATTTCCTTCTGTATGGTCATATATAGAAGATGGATGTGTAAGAATTCATATTCATATTTTGAATGAACAGATATAACATGTACCAATTCAATACTAAAATACTATAGAGTATTGTAAAGATTTTTTTTTTCAGATTATGTAATATTTTAATTGAAATTATAAAATTAAATTGATGCATCTCAGATAATTATGTCAAAGCTCATGTTTTGACAATATTGTGTCAAAGCGCAATGTTTTTGAATTCATAGTTCATACCAAGATCTCCAATTGATGTTACACTTAAAAATGGTTCATTTAATGCAGTAATGATAAAATATTGTGGATCTAGTTCTTGTGAAGCTGATCATGATGTGTTTTGGGAACTTATTAACATTAGGCCAAATCATTATTTGAAAACCATAGAAATAATTTATTGAGACATTTCTGTTAATCATTAAGAACTGTCTTGTTCAAAACTTATTCAAAGACTTCCCTTCCCCTCTCCCACCCAGGTTTTCAGAAAGACAATCTTCAAAGAAACCATAGTTGTCATTTATAAAAATGTTACACTGCGATTTTTGCAACTCTGACCCTGGCAGGTATTAACTGTTGATAGTTTCATCCAATCAGGAGCTTTACTATAATGACATCACTATGGTGACATTCAAGCTCCTGATAGGATGAAATCATCAACAGCTGATACCTGTCAGGGGCAGAATTGTATATATGCTGTTCGGGTGACCTGACCAGCCAAATATTTATTGACTGTGGACAGAGAAGCTTATGTTTGCTTCTTACCTTCAGGTCTCATACATTTTATCTCTGCACATTTATTTAACTTTAGTTTATCAATTTTCTTTGAAATATCCGAAATAGGTATGCTAATATTCTATACATTTGAGTACCTAATACGTTTTCTTTTGTTTATCAGTTGGTTAATTTATAAAAGAATTTGAATTGATCAGCAAACCAGCTAATCCATTTACTATTATCAGTGTAAAATGTGTGTTTATATGTGCTGTCAGTGTGAATTGTGTTTGGTTAATCATCATCATACTCCCTGGAATTAATAAATTTTGGATCAGAAGAAATGGAATTTGTCAGAAAGAAAGTAACAGCATTTGAAGAGCTTACTGAAATCTCTTTGCCATGATATTTTTCCATTCTGCCTCAATTTTGAAAATAAAGATGAATTCAAAACATTTAGAAATTTATTTACCTTGAGATATATGCTGATCAAATAAATTTGCACGAATCCTTAAGGTCCTATGAATGTAGGATACTTAATTTTGTATTCTGTCCTGCCAAATTCTTGTTCCACTTTGAATTTTATTGAATGAAAAAAAGGCTTACAATTTTAGTGAATCAGCCTGCAATAAAGGTTTTCACTATACTCAAACTTACTTAATTGATGCTTGTTCTTAAATTTTTGCTCAATTTACATGCTGCATAGATGTAACAAGAATGCTGACATTTGCCTTGAATATTATAATGCTGTTGCAGGTTCAAGTGAAGAAAGTTTCAACAGTCAATAGAAAGTGTCTTCAGGACAATGAAGAAGAATCCGTATTACAAGAAAATCTTGTCAAACATTTCCTTGGATTTTCTCGAATATTTAAACTTCTTACGGAATTGCAGACTCCAATTGTTGGACACAATTTGCTTTTAGATCTCATGTTAATGTATAATCAGTTTTACAAGCCGTTACCTGGTAAGTTAACCTGAATTGATGCTAAATAACTTGGAGTAGAAAATAAAATATTTCTTTAGTAAAAAACAACAGAAACTGAAAGTTGCTTCTGGTAGAAGTTTGGAGGAATTTTCAAGAATGGTGTTGAAATGTGGAATAATTTCAGAACATTAACTGTTCACTGAAACTGTTGATTTAGAAAGTTAAAATATACAAAAAGAAATGTGTCATTGAAGTGTTTAAAGTAAAAACTATTGTGCTTTATCACATCCACCTACTTTCTAGCTTTAAAGGTATTGATTACCAAATGTTATAATATAGTACCTTTATCGTACTAACCTTCAGCCAACGGTTAGAAACTCAAGTTACATCAAAGATTATTTGAAAACTTTCAATGTTTGGAAACTAGTGGTGCTACAACACATATTTTCTCTCATTATTTGTAACTTTTGCAATTTTTCAAAAATTCAAATAGTTTACTAAAAATTAGACCTGAGCTATTTTTATAAGTGTCCCTTTCACTATTTGAAAAATAATTTTAGCTGTTTTGGGGAAAATCTTGTTTTTAAAATTGCTTTATTGCACACAAAATTACAGAAAAACTACCCATATATTGAAAAAATTGTTGTGATCTTACTTTCAGATTTATTTTTGAGAAACAGATTTTATTACATAAAAATTTTTTCTTGTTAGTACTGTAATAATAGGAAGGTGCTGAAAATGTTTAAAAAATTTCACTTCTGAAAAAAATCAGTGAATTTGTCAAAACTCGAATTTGAGGCATTTTTGTAAGCATATTTTGCTCTTTTTAAGGTAAAGGTTTGTGTTTTTTTTTTAAACTGAAAATGTCATTAGTGTTTCATGAAAATTACTACCGAAAATCAAAATATCTGTTTCAAATTCACAAGGTCGACACATAATCCAGATTGATTCGGGAATATCAATTTCGATGAAAATCCTGCCATCAGTTTAGCTGCTAGCATTGTTAATGGCCATCTGACATACTTTGCTATAAACCAATTCTTCGGACACACTAAGCATGTATTCTGATTACACAGTTTTCTATATGCTACATTAAATAGCTTACACTTCCCACTTAAAGTTGTGGAAACTGGGTAATTCCTAGGCATTTTAGGATCCAATAGGTTCCCTAGACTTCCCCACAGGACATTGAAGTTTCTTTCCTGCATTTACTACCAACAATGCCTAAATTTGCTCCATCGTAATTTACAAATTGTGTGTGAAGTTTAATAGAGCTTTTGAGAGCAATTAACGAAATAGTCAGTAGATCGCCTCGAGATGTGATCTCCAGGGTCTTGAGGGCATCTACTGTAAATTTTGGCATAGCCCCAGAGGTTCCAACCACCACTGGCAGGATTCTGATGTTGGGTACTCCATGAAGTTGGGCTGCCAGGGCGATGACTGGTTGGTATTTTACCACCATTTCCTCCCCTGCTTTCAGAAGGCTAGACCCATCCTCATGGTGGACAGTCACATGGACCAAGTGGACACTTTCCCGGTTTATTACCAGGTCAGGTTTGAGTCTAAACCCTTTGGCAACCAAGAAAGTGGCTTCCCTGGACACTACTGTGTCCGATTTCCGGAGCATCTTCCCTTCTATGAAATTTCTGATCTCGTCATGACGCTTTATTCTTGCTGGCTGTGTAAAAATGCACTGACCAAGGATGTGCTTCATGGTTTCTACCACTGTATTGCACTTCCTGCAGAAAATATCCTCTTTGGACCTCCCTCTACTAAGAGTAGTTTTATTGGCATTTCCAATCGGATCGTATATATGCACCCTAATCGCTCTCCCTTGGGATCTTAGCTTCTCCCAGGCGGCTACCTCGTCATCGGCACATTTCTTCTTATAAGCCCTTAAATCTTGTTCAGAATAGGGCCAGTTGAGTCTCAGTGATTTTGCGGTCTTTAATGTCCATTGGTAAAAACTCGGACAGGGGCTCACTCAGGCAAATAGGATCTTCAGATTATTCTAATCGTAATCCTAGGTTCAGTGCAACTCTGGGAACATGTTGGGCAAGCCGCAGCAATCCCAGTTCTCCATCTCTCTTGGCCAGATAGAATAAGCTATCTGCAGTACTCATATGCAGATGTAGGAACTGTTTGACGGCCACTCTGACTTGACTGTCCGCTTCCCTGAGTATCGACATTGATGGTATGGATAGAACCAATTGATAAAGATAATGTGGCATTATGTAGGTATGAAGTAATACCAACTTCTGAGTGGGCTTTAAATGCGCCTTTTGAAGTATCGACACTGCTTCCATTTGTTGCTCCATTTTGTGGCTAACTTTCATCTTATCAGGTCCTGGAGCCATGGCACATTAGAGGAAGTTACTTACTACACGCAGACCAATATATGTATAGTAGAGGAAGAATTCTATTGTTTTGAAAAAGGGTTTGCAAAACTCCTGCTTATGAGTGCTGGTCATTGTTTGCAGTATTCTTTTGGGGAGACTAAATGTCCAAGGATTTTCAGGGGCATTTACACAATATTTTATTCCATATTTAGGATTGGTGATTCCGGGCACATCAATTCTAAGGCCATTAGTATCATAAGTATAGTGCATGATTTCTTTCCTCGTGAGGTGGCGGTAATCTTCCCCCTGCTAGATAATGAGATCCGGCAGGACCTGCGCCTCCTTTTGCGTTTTCCAACAAGTACAATTATAAAGATAGAGATTTTTCTCTTTATGAAATCTGTTTGTTAAAGATAGATTTCGAAATAAAGTTGTGTATTATTTTTTGAAAATTTGAGCACCTTTCACGTAATTTTATGTGAAAGTATGTGCGAGAAAGTACGTGCTGTTTTACCACCACTAGTTTTTTTATTATCTAGCATAAATTTCGTATCATTATTGCAAACTTTTTTGAATTCCCTTCCTTTTAACCCAAAACTAAAATAAAGTATAATGATTTAAAAGTCTTAAATAATGTAATGGTTTGGCTCTTCATTTTATTTATTTTCAGAATCGTACACAACTTTCAAGAAAGATATCAATACTTTGTTTCCTACAATATTGGATACCAAGTATATAAGTTTTGAAGCAAAGCGAATTATTGGAAGAGGTGAGTATTACCGTACTTGGTAAAGATTACAAGAAAGCAAACAAACCCAAATAATATATTCAATGCCTAATTGTATGGTTATCTATAACATAAGACTTATTATGTTTCAGACAAACTTGTTTCTAATGCATTAAACAACCTTTATGAATTCTTTAAACAAGGACCTGGTGCCACTTTGACGACACCTGCTCCAGGAGTAGAATTTGCAGCTGAATATATTCCTTCCAGTAAGTTTTGAGAAATGTATATTAATGTACAAATTGCTAATTCATGTACACACTCACACAATTTAAGAAATGAATAAAAATATAAAGAAAAAATTTAATTTTTGCTGCTTAGGCAATAAGTTGAGTGACACTCAAATGCAGAAGTGAAGGTTGAAAATAGTGGTCAATTAATGCTCAATGGAGCTCTATGCAATTGCAATTGAGAGCCCAAGCTTTCATTGACTGTCCCCCCACCCCTAAAATATTGTGTTATTATGGTATGCATATTGAATTTATAAATTAAAATATCTTAAACATTTGGATGCCCAATTTTATTTTATTACATTTTTGAAGTCCCGGAAAGTGTATGTTCAATATTAAAAAATATTGAGTTCTTACGTGTCAAAATGTACACGCTTTGTGGTTTCTTTATATGCTGTCATTGAATTTGATACATGAGATTTGATTTGACATGAGCTTAAAATATCTCCAATATTAATACATGGTTACAAAAATTAAGTGTCTGACTCCTTTAATTATTAAAAAATATTTTATTCAATTCCATGTCCTTGGAACCCCCTGCCCAACGGGTGCCCTAGGCAGTTGCCTAGTACTGCCTGTTGGTTAATCCACCACTGGGTTCGTAGGCTTCCGTGGCCGGAGTCAACGTATTCTTGGCTATCCGGGATACTGCTGATATAAGCAGTATAGCTCTGAAGAAGGCCACAGCAAGATGGCCGAAACGTCAGTACAATTGACCGAGATGCGGCTCATCCCGGATAGCTAAGAATACATTATCCACCACTGAACAAAAGTTGTTTCCTTTTTTTTTTGTAGATGTGAACAGTTTGATAATTCTCTTGCACTATCGATAACAGCAGTGTGTAACGGATTGTGACATTTTTCAGGAAAATTTTGAAAACATCTTTGTAGTCACCAATGACACTTCCTAGTGCCTAGAGGAAACTATTCCTCTAGGCACTAGGAAACTATTCCTCTAGGCACTAGGAATTCACCCACAACAATAACAAACAGCCACACTTATTCATTCTAACTCTTTCATCTATATTTAAGTCAAAATGTGTGTGTTAAATCTAAGTGGAAGACATGTTTGGAGGAAAGGACTTCCGTTTCTTTGCAACTGTTTTGCAAATGTCAAATACAAGATAGAAAACAAAAGACTGAAAAGAGTGGTTAAGGACATTAAAAATATGCAATCAAGGAATACTCGTATATACATGGTAATGTACATGGTAAAATTAATTATGAACCAAATGCTCAAGCCCAAACTACTTAACATTATCAATAAATTGCACATTAGAAAACGGAACATTATATAACATGGACCCAATGGATAAAGAGATAGCTGCAAGAAGCAAAAACTACTTTGGCAAGTTCTGCTAAACTAACAGGTATCAATTATCAATATCTGAGTTGTTACATTAATTTCCAACAGGCCAGAGAGAAACAGAAAATATAGTTAGATAACTCAGCAAAATTCCGATCCAACACTAATACTTCACGGAAATGAACCCCAAGGATCAATATTAGACTCTTTCTTAGATATTGTGTTTATGTGAACAATTGTAAGTTCATCAGAAAGAATGACACTTAGTATGTAAGCAGATGATATTTACCTTGGCACAGATCACAAACTGAACTGTACCCAAAATCTTAAGTAGCTAGTTGAATTAGCTCAGAGCTGAGTTTGCGGCTACCTCTGCTATGGCTCTGAGGATGTCCTAGCGTTTCTGTCCCAACAGAGGCTGTATTTTCAACACAAGCTAAATAGTTTGTGGAATTCAGCTACTGTCTGGAGGAGAATTCTAGCGTCTGGCTGCTCTGATTAGTAGTTTTCTGTGGTTTCTCTGATCAGTACCAGGCGAATACTGGTACAATCCATGGCCATACAAACAGGTCAAGGACTGCATGCAATCTTTCCTTCCTCTTCCTTGTCTTAGCCTCTCCTCGTACACATACACATACTACACAACCACATGTGTCAAGAGACCCGTAGAAAACTAAGTGCTGGGTTGAGATACCTGAAGGAGGAAATCCCCATGACATGTAGATTGGTACCGGATAACCACCATCCAGTGGGGGAGGACCACAAGTATCTCCCAGAATGAAATGTTCAGTACACCAATAGGGTCTAATGAACATAGCAGTTGACATACCTGGGAACATCAATTAATCAATGAAGTAGCTGCCTATATCTCACCATAAAACTATAAATGAAATTTAAGTGTATATCTAACAAAGCTATCTTTATCTCACTTACAAACTACACTTGTTATACATCTGTTCAGATTTTTGAGATTCAAATAATTTTGGTATCAAATATAAAATAAGCAAAAGTTTTAGGAATTGAAATACACACTTACCATAGTAAAGCACACGAATAAAGAATTAAAATATATCAGGAATATACATAACAAGAATACTAAGTAAGTTTTCAAATGAAGGTAAGCTGAAAACTATCAAGTAATCTTTCAACATTAGGATAGGGAATTCATTTTAGGGTTGCTATACATCTGTGTCCCCTTTACCTTTATGTCCAAAGTATTTGTCTTCTGAAAAAATCCCACAAGAGTAGTATATAAATGAAGAGGATAGATATCTCAAAAATTTTATTGCAGAATGAGATCATCTTTACAATACCTCTTTACAACTTTATATACACAATACAATATTATTCATCAAATGTAATAGAAGTGTACTGAATAATTGGAAGACCTAGTCCTTTTCTCTTACTAGGAGAAATAGTATAATAAAGAGACATTCGAAAACAGCAATAACAGTAACAACCACCCAGGCGATGTAGGAATCAATAAGCTGGACAGCACTTCAAAAAGATAGCGAAGTACTTTCTAAATTCAAAATAGAGCTGAAACTAAAATATTTTATCAAAAAACTTCCCTCTGTTATGTAAATAATAAATGTTAAAAATAACCCTTTTGATTAGTGTATATCATCACACTGTACACTAATGCATATTTATTGTGTAATGAGTGTATGAAGTCAATTATTGTAAAGCTCCTGTTTATATAAAGTTGTACAATTTGGTTGACCTTAGTTTCTGACAAATAATGTAACAGATTTTACTTGTGGTTAGTATTGTATAGTTTTAGTGTAAATAATATTTCTTGCAAGTTGTCATTTTTTTTCATTCATGTGAATAATTTGTTACAGACCTTCACGAAAATTTCCATGAAGCAGGATGGGATTCATATTGCACAGGCTTCTGTTTTATAAAGTTGGCTTATGTGTTTGCTGAAAAGCTGCATGGCAAGTATGTATAGTTTATTTTTCTTGTGCTTCAATCTGTAAATTTTATATATCTCATAAAGTAGAGCATTTTGAGAAAATGGAATTAGAAATGAGTAGATTTGGATGTAGACTTGCTTAGAAGTTTTATTTTTAATAATGAGGTACATTAGTGATTGTTCGGAAGCTGAGGAGATAGTATTGCAATATTGTTTGTCAGTGTGTCGCAGTAACCCTTTTGATGTTCTTTCCAGCCCTGAAAAACCAATGTTATATAAAAGCTATACTAATTTGGAGCTCCAAAAAGCTGTCAGCCATTTAAAGAATCGTGTAAATGTTGTTAGAGCTGATATATCATTCATTGTGAGTTATATCTCTTTATTCATTTAAAGTAGTGTATAATCTATGAGGGAAAAACCTACGAAAATGAAATTTTAATTTTGTGGAAAGGGTGTAAAATTGTAAATAACAGATTTTTGTTTTGAAACTTAATTCTTAAAACAAAATTCTTTCTCTTCCAAATTTGTCAATATAAATCGTCTTGTTACATTTACAGACATTTGATGGAGCAGACCCTAAGTCGGAGAGGCCACAGTGGCTACATGTTAGAGCTAGACAGAATAAATACTTAGACTCTTCGCAGGTAATTGCTATTTCTTTATTATCAAAAATACCATTATTATTATTATTATTATTAGAAAACAGAATTTATTGTAGTGAAAAAAAAAAACAACAAAATGTGTACATTTATGTCTTTATTTTATCCAAAATACGTCAGAAAAAAATAGAAAATAAGTAAAATAATATTGATAAAAAATTGCAACAAGATCTTTAAATTATAAGAGATTCCAAAAAGTCATCACCAATTTTTCATATAAAAGTTATTTTCTTTCTGGACTTAGAGAAAGATAAACTTGTGTATTAACTGATATTTAATTTTAATCTTTTAGAAAAGTACCAATTTAGTACAAGGTCAAGATCAGATTGTAGATCCATACAGTCTTGTAGTGCACATATAGTTTATAAAATTTGAGGACATCAGCAAACAGAAGAAATTTAGAATAAGGAAGCAGTCTTTGTAGGTCATTTATAAAGATAATAAAAAGCACTTGTCCTAGGTGAGGACCTTGAGGAACAGCAGATGTAATTTCTATATTTCTGGATATTAACGATTTATATTTAACTTTCTAGGTTCTACCATTTAGGTAATTTCATAGCCCATTCAAAAGAGGACCACAAATTCCGATTGGTTCCAATGCCAATAGAAGGGTTTAATGGTTTGCAGTATTAAATGATTTAGAAAAGTCAATGTAAACGACATCTACCTTTTTATGAAGGTCAAGATTTTCTAAGATGTGATGTTGAATTATCATTAGATTTGTAACAAGGGACCTGTTTTGCTGAAATGATTCTACACATCTAGTGCTAGAGTTTGTTTGTCATTTGTTTGAAAATGTCCCCTGGGCCTTGAGTTCATTCAGAGCAATTGGGGAAAATCAATTTTAGTGAAAATCATCAGAATATTTGTGGCACTAACTTTGACCATGGACAGTCCTGGATAAACAGACAAACATTTTTTGGTTAATCAATTTTGATATGAGGGACAGACAAAATATGGATTCTGACTACTCAAAATGTGGGATTCTGACTACTCAAGATTAGTATATATAGGACAAAGATTTATCTACTTTTTTGTTATCAAGGCCCAACAATACAAGATTTTTCTGTACAAAAAAAAAGTAGTTTGAAAATAATCATTACCTTGAGAACGAACTATATAAATTAAAATCCCTAATCCCAAAGAACTTTCACAAACAGCAAACACCAAATAAATCATAGCAAAAAGAATTCATACTGCATTCTAACTAATCAATACATCAGGGGGAAAAAGTAAACAATTCTTTATATTCTTAACTGACCAAAACAATAAACAAATATTTCCGCTGCAGCATTACAATATTTTCTTGTAAGTGCATACTAAGGTGAAAAAGTAAAATTATGCTAGTTGTTCCTCCAATTTTCAGTGCTTATCTTCCTTCAGGTCTATTTAACATGTGCTTGTTACAGGTTGCAGAATTACTTGCAAAATGTGGAGTTGTGGATGTGAAATCATACTCCAGATACCAAGCTTTAGTGGCAGTTGGAAACCATAAAACGTAAGATATGTTTTTTTAACTTTGCCACTATAGAGGGCTACCTGTAGCATTTAGGTTCAAATAACATTATCACACGAAATTACTCTCAGTGTTTTATTTGTATAGTCTTCAAAAGAATATCGTCAAAAAATTGTACATGACCATATTTCAAGATCAGTCTTTAAGGAACAGATTTTGTGATGGAAAAAATATCTATCTTCAATATTATAGTTGTAGGAACGACACCCTCCAAAAATTGAATTTTTGCAAATTTTGAAAAATCAGGGATTTCAACGAACATGAGACCTGCACCATTTTCTTGAGTGTCCTTTATGCTATCCGAGGATAAAGTTTAATTTAAAAATATTGGTGCAATTTTTGAGAAAATTTTGAAAAGGTGTTTGAGACTTAATGTAAAATACCATCAAAAACCATAATATTCGTTTAAAACTCCCACAGCCTCGAGTTCTTTCAGATCGATCGCTGAATATCAAAATGGAAGAAATCGTCTGAACGGTCTAGGCCAGGGTGGTCCAACTGGTGGCCCCTCGGGCCGCGGTACCATTTATTGTCAACGCGGTGCTGCCAAGAAGGACACTTCGCCCCCGCCAGCAACGCCACTGACGATGCCTGCCACAATTGCACGCGAAACGTTTGGACCAGTCTCCGATGGACCACGGGCTACAAACCCGTAAACAACTTATTATGATGTAGAAACCGGCCGTGAAAGCCTACATTGTGATTCACTGCGTTACGCATGGTATGGCCTGATATCACGCATGGTTCTACTCTGCCCGTCCCCATTTCACAGCGGTCGGACAAATTGCTAATATCAGCAATAAGGGGGCGTTAGGTGTGGATCGCCATTTAATATGGGCCGCAACCGTAGCAATTGTGTTAGTTATGGCCCCTAAGGTTTTGCAAGTTGGACATCTCTGGTCTAGGCGCTTGACCACAGACGGAAGGACAGACGGACAAACAGACGCTTTGCCGTCAATCGTTTTTTCGGTATCAACAATCCACAAAACATGAATTCGGTAGCGGTAGTAATTTACTGTAATAGCAACAGGATTTAGCCACTTTTTCGTTTCCAGGGCTCGGCATTAAGAGTTTTTCTGCCGAAAATTCTCCGTTTTCCGGAGCACGATTACGTAACTTTCTCTTCTTATGAAGTAAGTGTGAGAAAGTAAAAAAGGAAATTATGACGAAAAGGCCGAAAGTTTGGCCGAAAATATACAGTGATAGGATGAGGGCTGCCCCTTCTCTACCTAACCCCATTACCGCGACGTGTGATACGTTGTTAAAAAGTTCTTTCTTCCAGTGCTACTCGGAAAATCCACGGACACCTGAATGACAAATTTGACTAACACGTGGGAGCTGTTGAGATCGGACGCTCTCCGTCATGATAATGGATGTATAATGAAAACTGTCCTTCAACGGGAAAGGCAGGTGGCAAGGGTAGAAATGCGGGTCGGCGTGGTCGGACCACGACAGTTTTATGGTGAAGCCCGTCGCCTATAGAGAGAGGCAGCCGAACGTGGCGAATGGATGGCAAAGACGCCGCACGCCATGCAATGGTTCGTGTGTGTCCATTACAGTACGGCTAGAGATAATAGATTTTAGCAATTGCGAAAAATGCGAAATGTTACCAAACGCTGAAAACAATCGAAATGTGATCGTGATCGAAATCACGTACAAAGTGCGAAATGTCGTGAATCTGCGATATAATTGGTAAATTGCGTTTTATTGTTTCCTTCGTGTTCGCTCTGTATTTAGCGATGCGATAACTACAATAATATATCGATGTTTGAAAACGTTTAATAGTGGCCATGTTTATTAATTTATAATTAAGATTTAATTCCTCATACCACAAGGTTTTGTAGTGATCTGTCCATACTTAGCTATGAAGTCACTACAAAAACTTTTGAAAAAGCTGTCGACAGCGTAAATGTGGCAAAGTTGTGGAGCTTACTCATTAGAAGAGATTTACGATTCCATCTTTTTAATGCTATCAAAAGTCTGTACGTTGGCACGACAGTTGTTATTGATACCGGCAAAATGTTGACAGAAGAAATTGAAACAAATAAAGGTGTTAGACAGGGATGTTGTATTTCCTCAACGTTGTTTATTATATATCTTGACATTTTTCACTAACGGTGAGACGTTTTGAACTCGGGAATTCAACTAACCCCTGCCCATATGAAACTCAACCTTCGTGCATGTGCAGACGATGTGATAATGGTTCAGTTAACTGAAGACATGCTACAAAGAGGGATGCATTTATTGCAAAATATATGTGAAGATTATAACGTTAAAATATCTACTAATAAAACTAATGTAATGACTTTTAATGGAAAATATCCTGTCAGATCAAAAATAGTATTGAATGGGAAGACTGTAGAGCAATTGTTCAGTTTTAATTACTTGGGATGTGAAGTATCTTTTATATTTGATGACGATGTCACAAACAAATTAAAAACGTTTAAACATATTTGTGACATAGAACAATTCATAGAACCCTAAAACATTAAACAAGAAAAGAAACCAGACCTACGTTCTATACAACGATGGCGGTACCAGTAGTGTTATATGGAAGCGAGAACCTGGATCCTCTCGAAAAGAGAAACAAATAGAGTGAGAGCCGCAGAAATGAGTTGTCTTAGAGCTGTAAAAGGGTGTACTCTAGATGACAAAATTAGGAGTAAAGATATACGTAAAGAGTTATAGATGTTTAGTCTCGAGAAGAAGATCAGTGACACTAAAATGAACTGGAGCGAATGAGCAGAAACCGAATTCCTCGACTGGCAAGGGACTACAAATCAGTTGGCCGAAGGAGCATCGGTCGTCGGAGAAAATGGTTTCCGGAACAGGCAGTCCTGCCTAATCCATGAAATGAAGATTTAATTGACAAAACAAAGTAAAAAATAATAACAATTTAAAAATCTGGTCTTGAAAGTCTGAGCGTGGGCTCGTCTCACGGAGTCTCAGCTTCCTCAGTTCGCTGAACGGCGCCCTCGTTACTACTTAGGTTTTTACGTATATATTTGTTGAAGCTCATAAATGGCGAAATATTACTTTCCCTTATTTCCTTATTTTAATGTGAGAATCTAAAAATCGTCAAATAACATATTTTTTTATCTTAAATCGTCTTTCTTTAATAATTTTTCTCAAAATGCGTTTTTTCGACCTCTTCCTACAATTACTATAATCAAGATTGACTTCTTTTCGTAATGAAATCTATTCATCAAAAATAGATCTTGAAATAAAGTAATGTACAATATTTCTAAAAGGAGTTGTTTTCTCGTAATTTGCTACCGTTCCTGACTGTTGAAATAATGATAAATGTACTCGTACACAGCAGGTGCTTCGTTTGAATTAGTTTGGACTTTTTTAATCGATTTCTGAAGTGTTAGAAGGGTAGAAATTGGAATCTTATAATATTATGTAATCGCTCCTAATAATGCGAGAAAGTATGTGTTGTTGTAGCACCACTAGTTTAAATATTTATTAGTACTGTTGTGTTTTATAGGTGTTTTGAAGTATAATTTTTATATTTGGACGATGTCCTCAGCTCTAAAGCTAGGAATGTGGTTTCATCCATGTGGTTTTAATAACGAAATAAATTATTTAATATTTCTTTTTTTCTCAGTTTAAACTTCTAGTATAATCTTTATAAATTTTATGTTAGAAATGTATAGTTTTCAAGTTTCTAACTTTGCTTCTTTGGAAACTTTTTTAATAATTTAACTATTTATAGTTCAAATGTTGAAGAGATTCTGGAGCTGAAGAAAACATGCACAGATGGTATTTCCCCCCCATACGTCACATACAATTTTTACTGTTCTTTGACTAAATAAATCGAATTTACTGAAGGTTCATAGTGAGCGGAACATATTCTTTGGATTCCGTAAACCTGTGAAATTTTGTTTTGTGCAAGTTCCAAGGAGGTTACCAATCTTGTAGGGAAATAGATTGCACTGCACACGTCATTGAAAATTTACTAGCATTACGAAATGAGTTTTACGATGGAAATACGTCCGTTGTTTCGGGTCAGTACCCTGAGTAGTTTGTTATTTGAACTGGGTGATTGATTGAGTTTTGTAGACACCTTCACGCGAGACTACGAGAATTTGATGAGGGGGTCGTCGGGAAAAGAGGAGGAATGGAGGTGAATCAGTGTTACGATGGGTTACATATGGATAGAGGTGTTAGCTTAGTGTTGCTTAACGCTGATATTGATTTTTTCAAGAAATATTTTAATATTTCCTTTTAATAAGTCTTATAAATACATTAAAATATTAACAAATTAAATTTAAAAAATAAATAAAATGGTATGATGCAAAAAATTGCTGCAATTGATTGAATGTGTTAGGTTACAAAGAAAATATTCAAAACTGAACTTTAATATATTATAGAATCCAATTAAATTAGCGCAGTAGATTCTCGTCCTTACATCATCCACGACGGCTTGTGCATGACTTGGCAAATTTTCTCGCCTCCTTCTTTCACTCAAAAATAGTTCCCAATCTCATTGTTAGTTACAATCAACATCAACTAATTATGACTTTAATGATCAAACATGTTAATATATAACACAAACATTATTAATATAATTTGTTTTACTGTGATACAATTTATTTTTACTTATTGTAAATGTTGGTGTCGTAAGCGTTACGTAATTATTTAGTAGGGTTCGAGTGCCCGTTTCAAGGGGTAGAGGGGGTAATTTGCATTACGTAATTTATGGACGGCTCCATTATTCTTGAAGGTGAAGCTATCGAAGTTGATGCCACAAATAGAATGAACTGAGAATGCAGAATCGTTCCGTTAATTCGTTCGCATAATTAGTGTAATCAGTTTTTTTGTACTCTATTCAACGGTTGAATAATTTGAGGTTGCATTAGAATTTTTAGTGAAAAATACATGTTATCAAAGGATAGTTTTCGGTGGAACTGAAAGATGTTTTTATGTCTGATCTACCCGTTCAGGAAGTATATATTTGGTGTTTCAATTATGATTTTCATCGGTTCGCTAACGATATCGTTCTATTTGAGTGTAGTTTAACCCAAATATGAACAATGAAAATAACAAGAATATTTATGTTTACTAAACAGTTAATTTTCATTTTATCATATTTCCTTTTTCTATATTTTGAATGTGAATCAGCTTACTGTACGTCCATTGATATTGCAACTGTGTATTATATCTCGAAACAGTTGTGAAATTGAATTGCCTGCCAAGCTGCATTGAATTGACTAAAGCATAGAGTTCATTCAGACGACAGTCCAATTGCTTGACGCAAGCAGTAAGTTCGCAGTAGCGAAGGGGACACAGAGGTATACAACTGACGGTCTTCCGAGCGCGTTGCGTCTGACTGTAATGGAGTGCAAACAGGAATGGACGTTGAAGGTTATTTGCCAAACGAAAGCTGTCGCTCCTCGCTCCCTGAGTTCGCAAGCTGTACGTCAGTTTCCATTTATTCTGTTGTGTGTGCAAGCACAGATCTTGTGTTTTTGGTATTTTACGACGTTTGTGTTAATCATAAAAACGTCGCGGGTTTTCCTGAAATTGATAGCTGCGAAACAGATACGACTCCCTCATCAATGTAATGCAAGAAGTTCGATGTATATCAGTAGTTTGCCATTTCCTGATAAACAACCGAGTAAAGTTGCCAAATATTAAGATCAGTAGATTAGCATTGGAACTGACATTACTTGTTCTCAGTTTAGTATAAACATCTTAAAAGAGTCATGTTGGGCGTATTAGTGGCTTTATTGACGTTATTTTAGGTGTGAGATATGCCGTTCGATGAGGCACTGAATTAAGAAACGTCAACCACTGAGAAAGTTTCATCTTTAAAAGTGCAAGTTTGGGCTGTGAGCATGAGGAACGTCCCGATCTCTTAAGCATTATAGCTTATTTTTTTGGAGAGGTTATAAAATCGAGCATCTTCAAGGTTTGCTTATTGAACCTTTCCATCCCTTGGCATCTTATTGCGGCCACGCGTTGATAAGTACTGACCATGACTCAGGCGGGATCTCGCGATGAGGAACGCGTTGCCGTTTCTCACCTTCCCGATAATTTCCTCCGCCTTGAGTTACTGCTGTTGGCACAGAGGAATATTTAGCTTTATGGGATCTGCATCTGGAGTGTGTTTCCCCGTTCACTGCAACGTAAATCTCAAAACGTTTCTCTTTTCTCCTCTCCTCTCCTCTCCTCTCCTCTCCTCTCTAATTTCACCTCCTCTTCTCTCTTATCACCTCTTCTCTCGTCTCTCCTCTTTTCTCTCGTCTTTCTTGATCTCCTCTTTCATCTCTCCTTTCCCTTCTCATATTTCTTTTCTCTTCTCATCTCTTTTCCTCTCGCCTCTCCTCTCTTCTCTTATTATCGTCTCCCTTCCCTTCTGCGCCGGGTCGGGCCGGCGTGACGCGGCGCACACGCGGAAGTGCATTTAGAACGCGCCGCGCCTTTTCAACTCCCGCCCACGATTCGCTTGTGGGATGGTCGTCGGGTTCGCGGCGGTGTTCGGTGGCGGTGACGTGTTATTTACGTCACTGGGCTGAGCCACGGCTGCTGCTTCTGCCGCCGCCGCCGTCGCGGATGGCTACGTCCGACCTTTTTTTAACGGCGCGGCGTACGCGAAGAAGAAGCAGCGTCTTGAGACTGTGTATTGTGGGGCGTTTCCGCCCGGCGGCGCTGGGCGCTGGAATTAGAACCGGCGGTGGGGTGGGCGACGGGGATGGGTCCGGTGGTGGTGCTGGGGATGCAGGGAATGACGAACATGATTGTAAACTTCACGAATGGATTGGTGATGTTTGCAATGATGGAGACGACAACGGCGTTGTTGCGAGGGCTGGAGAACACAGCAGCAGGACAGCTGATGCGCTCTTCACCGATGACGACCGTGGATGAGGTATTGACGGGGCGCACTTGTGGATGTGATAATAAAGAAGGAAGCGGTGGAGGAGCCAGAGGTAGTTATTTTCCATGATGGGTGCGATGACAGCTCTAGTTGTGATGCTCGGGAACAGGGATTAGGGTTGTTGTCGCAGACACGGCGAAGACGTCGTGGGAGGCGATTGCAGCAGCGCCGGCGCCACCGCCGGCGGCGGCAATGGCGGTGGTGAGCGACGACCTGACGAGGGCGGTGGGCGTCTTTTGACAGGGGAGAGCGAGCCGGCGCGCGGCGCGCGGGATTGCGAGGGCGACGGTAGCGGCAGCGGCGGCGCGGACGGCGTACCAGGGCCGTTGCAGTTGCGCCGTCGGTCACAGTGGCGCGCTGCTCTCTTCTCCGCCGGCGCCCGACCGCTGCGCGGCGCCCCTGCTCCTCGTGCTCCGCTCCCCTCCGCTCGGCTCAGCCTCCGAGCGACCTCGGTCCCTCCCCCTCCCCCCCTGGCGTAAACGCGGGCGTCCGTCATTCTCCAGGCGCGTGCAGCAATTAAATTTAAAAGGGACTCAGCCCGAGAAAGCGTTACTTCCGTCGGGAGGGATGCGGTTTTCTTCGGACCGCTCGCACCGCGGCACTGCGCGTTTCCTCTCTCGCATTAGGCGGCGTTGTGGCTCTCGGGCGTTTAAAGGGCGAATTACGTTAACGCGAACGTTTACGTTGTCAACGGAAAGGCGTGTTTAATTTTTTTATTGGAGTTTGTAACCCGTTGAAATGTCAGTTCTGACACTTCCGTAGACGTAGAATATTTCTGCACTTTCGCGAATAGTTTTCGCGATTGCATTCATATGACAAAATATTAATGTTTTTTTAATGCCCTACACAATTTGTCTTCGACCATTTTTCTTCAAATAAAGGTGTTTTTTTTGCGTCAAACACTCGCGATCGCATTGATTTATCAATAACAAAATAACACGACCATTACGTAACAAATGTATCTAATCGCAATTAATATTACAATGACTGTGGGGAATTACTTAACAGTATACGACGTACTTGGAGATTTGTATTTTACTTTACAGTGTTAAATAGTTTACAAAAAGCACGGGGATATTTTTTATTGTAATGTTACACCTGACATTGATTCTTTGTGACAAAATTGTCAATATTGGCTTACATAATAGCACAAGAATTTTGAATGCAGTTCTCTAAGCGAGCGTCGGAAAGTGTTCCTCAATTTTCACTTCACAACATTCATCGTGAAGGAAATCTATTCATTCAGATGAAATACGGGTACTCGTTTTACTTCCCCTATTGAGCCAGCACACTTTCCTATAATACACTACCGTTCATCACCATACTCGATCCATTGCGTAAAGGAACTTTTGGAATTGCTTGTGCAGGCTATCAAAACGTAAGTAATGTAGTTCAAATGAGTATTTGTTTGCGGACAGCCACAAATTCAGCCATGGGCCTCAAGTGCATGCGAACCGCGGTTGGAAGACCTCTGCCCTACACTATTAAATTTTTTATAAGTACTGTAGTTCATGCTCATAATCGTCAGCGAAATAGTCAATCGTTGTTTGCATTAACTTTGCATCACTTTTAAAGCATAGAAATAATATGTATTTTCATCGTTTGCCCGATGATGTACAGCTCGCTGTTCAGTCCGTTCGCTTTCCTTGCCGACATGACATAATTCACAGATTTCCCAACGGCGGACCGTGTGCCCCAGTTGAAAGATCTTCGCTTGCTGAGAAAACGAGGCGATGGAACGGAGCCAAAAGATTAGATTTTGATTCGGGAAGATCTGTTGGCGTATTGTAGAGAGCGTAGTAATGATCTATATTTCTGTATTGCCCTACTTAATTATACATCTGTTTTATATAGAGATACTAGTGATAGAGTAGTGAACCATTTCGGTGGTTTGCTAACGTAAAGAACTTTCACAAGCAATCTCGCTTCCAAATCTATTGTATCGATATTGATCTGTGTTTCTGTGTGTTGTGCATTAATCATTTTCTTGTAAGTAATGTGAAGAATTGTGAGTACTTGTAATTAATATCTTTAAGTTCCTGCCATAATAGAGATTTGATCATTAGGTACAATGGAAATCCAATTACGACTGACCTCGTGTCACGTCTCCGAGCATAATTGCGTGCAAATAAAGTTCAGCTCTGATGATCTACCATTATTATGTGATCTCTTTGTGTGAGAAAAGTAAAACGCTTCTTTCACTGACAAGGCAGTCGTATCAGAGAATATCAACGAAATACGATAGATAATCGTTTGCATTATCTCTTACACTGCTGACAATATCCGAATGCAAAATCTGTGTTGAAAATGCGAATACTGCCCTCCCTCTCTCGACCGCTTCTACTAACTTACACGAATTTTCTGTAGGTTCCGAAATATTCTCTTTTGCAATTAATCTCGGTTACGCTGTGCAGGTAAGGTACACGTTTGATTCGCATGACGGTACTTTCACAGGCTTAATTTCACTTTACGTTTGAAGTGAACTTCCGAAAGGTATTTACAATGTTAATAAAGAAGATTGATATGTAGCGTTTAATCTATGACTCATTTGGATTTGACAGCAAATAACCAGGAAACGACAGTGGGAGGGAACTGGACCGCGTACCCCGTAGGCAAATGCCATTTACCCTAATTCCCCGGGCGAAGCCACGTGGTGCAGAGCAATCGCATCCACGTCCACATGCGCAGAGCAACGGAGAAAGCCGCGGAGCGAAAGCAGTCGCTGAGCGGAAGCGCTCCTCACAAAGCCTCGGCCGCCGCCGCCAGTGCGTGCGCCGTGGGGCGGGAGCGGGGGGGGAGCAGAACGGGAAACTGGGTCTTCGGGAGGCGAGACGCCGCGGCGCGGGGGGGGGGACGAGGGGGTGGCAAAGGCGGCCGCTCGAGGCGCTCGCTTATTGCTGTCATCGATCTGCGCGGGTGTTGGTAGCGGCCATCGATCGGACTCCGGCGGCGCTTGCGCCAGCCCCCCTAACCCGTCCTCACAGCTCCACGACGCTCTCGTCTCCGGTCGAGCGCGAATCGCCCTCCTCCCCCCTGCCTTCGCCCCGTGCTCCGCCCACCGGCCGCAGCCGCCCGCCTCGCGTAATCCCTGCCGCAGGTAGAGAGAGATTACGTTAAGAAGGGACCGCTTTGACAGCTACGGCTTGGCTATTGCTGGCAATATATAGAGTAACTGCAAGTTACGTCCAATTGTACGTTCGTTTCCAGTTAGCTCATTTGTACATGGCGTCATCGCTACCTCTTGCAGTGTCACCGCCTCTCCGCGTTGCTACACTGCCACCTCTACTATCCCCTCGTGGGTTGGAGGACCACGGTTAGTCGTTGACCACCAACCTTCAAATTTTCATGTTCTCTCGCTTTTATCGTATTTTCTCCAACTTGATTTGCCATTCTCTGCTTTTCGCGCATTCCATATTCTCTTATCGTTAATGTAGGTCGTCATATCTGACCTACATTTGCCTTTTCCCGATTCATCGTCTCTTAAGTCTTCACCCAAATTTCTAACCCCCATCCCCTTACGTTAGGTTCTTAATAGATGATTCTCGATGACTAATCCTTGATAAAGTCATTTTTCAAATTTATCGTTCTATTTTTCAGTTTTTTTTTTGGTTGCTTTCTTTTTCGATTGTAGCCATCCAATCCTCGAGAGATGTGGATTCCTTCGCGTTCTCCCTGCCCACCCCATCCGTGCCGTCGCGTTCGCCTCTTCCCTTGTTGGCCGTTTCTGCTTCTCTCCGAGGCGGCCGCGTCGCCTTGGTCGGGGCAAAGGGTGCAGCGAACGAGAAAAAAATCGAATAGACGCTGCCGCCGCCGCCGGCGCCGCCGGCGCCGCCGACTGCTCCGCCGCCTCCGCGCGCGGCGACGAGAGTAGCACGTAGAAATAAATCATTCGCGTTGGCGGTCCGCCAGGCAAGGAGAACCGAGGGGAACGGATTGTTATGGTTCTGATCTGCCTCGCAGCCTCAATAAACAGCCCCAGACCGTAGTACAAATAGATGACCTTCCCGATTTTAAACAGCTGACGGCGGCGGTGAGGGTGTCGGTCGCGACTAGACGAAACTGGGAGCGGCGGCGGTGGCAGCGACGTCCTTACCCGATGACCTCGTGCAGCCGGTGGGAGGATGAATGGAGTATCTTGTCGCTTAAGATGCAGCTGATCTCAACAGCGACGCCGCTTCTTCGTCTTCGGATCAGCTCTCGTGAGCCGGCACTCGCTCGTGCTGTGCATCGCTTCGGCGCCAGCTGCCGTGGAAAGCTGTGCACATTAGTTGCCATGACCGTCCATCCCTCTTACTAAGCGGAGTTTGTTTTTGGTTTTATATTTGTTTGGTTTGGTGGTTTCTGAATGTGTTTCTGCGGAAGGTAAAGTGTGTTCGTTGAAAATATTTCGTTAAAGAAGTTGGTATAGGTCATTTTAACGCCGCTTGAGTAGTATTAGTGCGAACGTGGTCTCACCTCAATTTTTTTCTACTTTTCTCCAAAGTAACGAACTCCTTGTAATTGTAGGGACGTCAATTATGACGTCATGATAGTATTGGCGCGTAGCCGATAGGGCTAATTGCAATGACATTATGGCAAAATAACTACGAGGAGAATTACTCCGTGTTCAATGCCGAATACGGACTTGGAACATAGTTACGAGAGTAGTGTATAATTTTGTCACAATTTCCTTTGGCACATAGCTACGGAAAGGTCTGATTATTTGATTGGCGGCATTAATATTAGGAATTTATGGTTGTGGGTTCATCACATTTATTCATTTATATTTTGTCTATAATGCAACTTGATGCAAGCCCTAGTGTAGTAAAATAGTATATAAAAATAAAATGATAGAGAAACAGTTCACTAACAAACTATTTTCCTATTATTCCCCGTATACATTAATTTAGTTCCACAACAAACTGGCAGTGCGATTTCGCTTTGCTTTCAGTGGCCGATATGATAATAGAAATTATGATTAATTAGTTTACTGTGAACTAATCATTCTAGAACGCTGAGGAATTGAACAATAAAATTACTATGCATTGCTTGTACTGGAATATGAATATCGATGTTCAACCCTACTAACAAAGAATTACGATGTGTCAGGTTTGTAGTTTTACACGTTGAATATTTTATTTAGATATTTTTATCCATGAAATATTATTAGTGATTAGGATTCCCACTTTCGTACAACTTTTTTCACGCTTTCCTGCCCTTAGATAAGCCATGGCGCAATAAACACTTGTTGAGAATAGTATATGTAATGGTGTGTGCTGTGGAAATACAGGATGTATCCTTTTTATCATTTTTCACTTTTTCAGTATATTTTCGACGTACATAACCGGTGCATTGTTTGTAATATTGGGGGCATCTGTAGGGCAAACGTGAAACTAAAATCCTTTTTTAGTGTTGAAATGAGAGCTAAAACTGCATGCATTTGTGTACGAATGAGTATTTATGAGTCCTGGGTACAGCGTTATTGTAATTGCACAAATATTGTTGGCCATGAATTATAGTTGTTTAAAAACTTCATAGAGGAACACACGCAAGGCTACACGAGGGCTTTTTCACTACGAGTATGTTCATTTCATCGAGAAGTCCTAATGTCTTCCAAACATTACAACGTCTGACCCACGAGAGTAATGGAGCGACAAGAAACACTGTTGGATTAGAGTCTATCATTGAGTTATTTCTCAAAGAGTAGGCAGATTGTATGTTGGTCAAACATGACGCGATTTTTCTCAACGAGAGGGCACGTTGTGTTTGTTCGGATTTCGTGTAGCATCGTTAACCGAGTTCCTAAAAGCGTAAAAAATTCTGCTGATTAGCTAGACTTACACGACACACGATTTAACTCGACCGTAAAGACTCGGATTTTCCCTGTAATGAGAGTGCACCTACTGATGGGCGTGTAATTAATATACTAAATTTTATTTTGGAGATTGCGCATAAAGACGATAATAGGCAGATCCGAATAGTCTCTGATCCATCCGAATAGTCTCTGATCGCGAAGCTTGAAAGTCTCGATCGAAAAATACGCCGTCCTGGTTATACATAGTTTAATTACTACTGTAACGTAAATTTCTATTAAACGGTCCCTCTGTTTCGTGCGGAAGAAAATCGACCAGTTCCCATTTCTTCACTGAGGTTTTACTAGTGGGGTAAATTGCCCAAGCTCGTGCTCGGATGCATTAATGCCAACGTTGAGGTCGCTGGCGACGCACATTCCAGCGCCTCTCCCGCCGCGCCGCGCGTGCGAAGGGCGGAGGGCAGGTGGAGGCGATGGCGAAAGCGGAGGAGGAAACGGCCGTGTGAGTGATGGGCGCGTGGGCGCTGCACCGGCCATATTTCGGGGCGCGGGCGGCTCGTGATTTATGTGGCGAAGCGCGCGGCAGACGCAACGCGCGCGGTTTGCTCCCGACGCGGAGGCCGCCTCCCCTTCCACCTCCCCTCCTCCCCCTCCCCCCATCGCTCTCTCCCAGACCGTGTCCCCGCCACCGCCGCCGCTGGCGAAGCTATAACTCGTGCTCGTGGAGTCTGGAGCCCTTTAAAAAAAATGACCGGCAGAAGCGGAGGAGATGAACCGGTTAAAGTTTGCAGGGGATGCTTATTGGCGCTGTGGAAGACATCGAGGGAGAGGAGGCGATGAAGGAATGGGTAGCGAAGGCGGCAGTGACGATGGTGGGTTCAGCACCCCTAGAAGCCTTCATTGATCAAATATCGCAGACGTATTTTCGATTTGAGCAAATTCCGTGTTCCTGAAGTTGTACCCCATATGGAGAACCCCCTATGTCTAACAGAAGACAAAGTTGAGAATATTCAACAGCAATGTGAATGTAATCTTCCTTTATTGATTAGAAACTTGGCGATGGAATAACACCATACAAACCAAATAACAAACTTTTATAAACAGTTGTCACCGAAAATTATTTAAAGTTTACTGGCCCATAAAAATGAGGAATGAAGAACTGGAAGAAAGCCGGAGTTGTTTTTATCTGACTCCAGATTAGAAAGATGAAGTGGCGATGGATTGGACACACACTGGGAAGACCTAAAGGACCAAGAGAAAGGCAAGCTTTGGAATGGAACACGCAGGGAGAACGAGTAGCACGAAGACCGAGAGGCACGAGGAGATGGACGGTCTACAAGATGATGGTGAAGTGGAAAATTGTGGAGGAGAATTAAAGGAATACCGGCTAATCAAGTTCTATGGACATCCCTCATCGAGGTCCTATGCTCCCCGAAAGAGCGGTACCGAGGTATGATTTTCGATTTGGCCATTAATTCCCAGATTACATAACAGGTGAATGTGGAGAGGACGGTATGCCACTTGCATTGTATCTAAGAAGTTGCTGCTGCCCCCTCAGGATGACTGACCACTTCTCCCGACTACCCCACTATCCGTCTCCACCATTCGTTCGCTGCTCCTGCCCGTGCCTCCTCTTCCGAGGCGCGCGACTGATGTGCCCCTCGGGCTGTGGCGATGGACGGGGGCGGGTGGGAGCGGAGAAGAGCGCGTGTGAGTCCTGGAGGTGGCCGATCGGGTCCGGAGAGGGGGGGTTGGGCCGAGGAAAGCGCGTGCGAGCCAGCGAGCGAGCACGGGCTGGTGATCGGGACGGGTGTCAGGTGCGGAGCGCGGGGCTCGAGCCATGACGTCAGGTTTGCCTTTTTTCGTAACAACCCGGCGTCCACCCAATCATCTGCTGCACGGGTGACGAAGGATTTTCTTTTTCCATTGATGCCTGATGTGAGTTTATGAACAGCAGAGATTTCCAGATTTATGTACTCTATTTCCAATGCTATATTTACGGTGAGGTAACGTAAAATTTGGGAAAGGAATTTTGGCTGACACTCCCTCACGTTTTTCCTGACATACTTCGCGTAGATGTTGTATTTTTTGCAGCAGTGGAGTTGTAATTTCAAAGGGAACCTTCTGGGAATGAAACTTGTGAGAAAGGCTCGGATTATTATGGCGGTTTCTTTGTGTGAATTGATAAGGCCTAGGTGGAAGCTAGCGTAAATATGTTTATCATTTAAATTTGATAACATTTTGTCTTGTTGATGTAAATGCGTGTAGAAGTTTCCATTTTTGATTGAGATCACATTTTCCGGAAACTAACTATAAAAATAAACGTTTTATCTAAGTTGTACTGTAATGACATCTCACCGGGAATGTCTTTCAAGTATTTAGGATGAAGTTGCATTGATAGATAGAACCCTGACGGTCACATGTTTTGCATGACTACCTTTTTTGTTTAGTTGAGTCTCGTTCGTGTTTAAAACTTTATGCGTTAAAATCTGCCTTCTTTCATAATTAACTGAGTAATGATATAATTCATAAAATAACGGAGAAAAAAAAGTAAATTATAGTAAGTTTTTTTTTCTTTCAATCATTTAATGAGGCCACAACATTTAAGAATTTTAATGGTACTTCAATTTTCAGGAATTAATAGAGAAATGAACTTTTAAGTGCTTGAATTTGAATATTGGACTGCTAGTAGATGTCTTTTTGCCATATTTAATTTTTAAATTTACATTCCGATAATTAAGGGCCAAACGTACAATCAAAATCCTTACGGTTGGAAAATTCTGAGCTTGGGAGAACTCAGAACGTGTACTGAGTTCATGTACTACCCGTACATATTACAGGAGGTTGACCGCATGTGGCCTGACGACTGGTTGGTAGCGTCGTTTCCCTTCCCCCTGCTCGTGATGTACGGCTTCGGCTTAGGACCCCTCGTCCTTTATTGAATTACGCGGACGAAATGAGCGTGGAAGATGCGGGGTCAATCTACTGGCGTCGTCTGCTTAGCCAAACGCGTCGGGAGGCCACCCAGTTAACAGAGAGTGGGCGGCGCCTCGATAACCGCTCAATTACGGCGGATCAACGCGGGCGGCGTCCAGTGCTGCGTCGGCGGCGCGGCGCCGTCAGCCGGGGGAGAAGCGGCGGCCGGGCCCCGCGGTCACGCGCGCGACACGCGGCCAGGTAAACTGCGCTCGAGTAGCCTTTGCAACGTGTTTATCACGACCTGCAGCCAAACTGAACGATTCTCAGTGCACTAACACGTCCGGCGCCGAATCTAGTTGTTCATGTAATGTTGAGCAATGTGGTTTGTTTTATATTAGACTTTTTAGGACATCCTTTTTTTTTGTAGCACTAATTTCTTTGTGTATCAGTCAGTTATTCGAAACGTTTGAAAAACGCAAAATGTGTAAATATCTAGAACTCAACAATGACGGACTGGACAGTTTTTGGCCTAGTTGTTATTTCTCCACAACAGTGTAATTGTTTAACTTAACAGCGATTATAAAAATTCATTTTTGTATGTACTAGATGAAATAATTTTCACATTTGCGTGAAAGTAAAGTTATACAATTACTTAGTATGATTTAAATAGTACAAAATATTCGATATTCACTCACCACAGCACTTATTGATTAGATTTTCGGAGAAAAAAAATCGTTGGCAGCAACACACAGAATGAAAACAACATTAATGTTATCAAAAAAACCACATTAGGATTAAAATTGTACATTCAGTGAGGCCATGAGTATTTTAAAAATACAGTTAGTGCAAAAGAAAAAAAACTTTCTTTTAAATTTCGTAAATTTGAAAAGAACCGGTATTGCAGAAATTAAGTATTAGAATTCAGATATTCTCGCAGATTCAAAAAAAATCTAGGCAGTGGGAAACGATTGAATGAAAATCGGGGAAGCATAAGTACCTATTTTCATGACGTACCTTCCCGCGAGTTTTATTGAAGCAGATATAAACTTCGCTTCGTGTATTTAATTTGTGGGTTAGTCTAACGCAGCGAATGGATATAGCCGTTCTAAATTAAATGTTGCCTGGCCAGCCATCACTGCTTCGCTTGTCGATTAGCGCTATTGCAAGTTAATTTTGAATGACACGCTGTTTGTTTTGTCTTCGGGCTTGCAGAGATTTTCTGTTGAAAATAGTAGTTTTTTTCATCCGTTAGTCCGTAGTTCCCAGTTTTTTCATCCTTTAAAAATAATGCATGGAATTCGCTTCGTAAAAATATGCTGTATTTTTCAACAGAATTACTCGTTGTTTTTTCTTCTTTCGAAGAAACGCAGTGATTGTTTCCTTGTTGTTTTCTCCCTTTCTTTGAGGCGCTTTCCTAATTTTGACGTATTGAACTAATGAATCGAGAAATACTCGAAGTGTGGTCACGAATATTACGCTTTCCTAAGCGTTTAGATTATAGTCTATAGTCCGGAAACCAAAGTGAACACTTCTTTGACTGAAAACTCACGAGAAAGAGCCCGACACACACTTTCAAGTTGTTCTGTCATGCCGGAGGGACCGAACATGATATGGAGGTGCGTGGTCGTCAGCGTGTCGATCCCGTAATATCCGGCTGCATCCCTCCTCTTCTCCCCGCGTTTATTAATACCCTGCGCCCAAGGAACTACGCTCACGGCGATGCATCTAAAAAATCCGTGACCTCATTCTTAACTGTATAGAAAATTCGCTTCCCGGAGGCGCATTAAAAATAGTCTTCCGTTGTTTAATTGGTGAAATCGACGAACTCCTGTTAGTGCTTGTTTGTGTTTTCGACCAATTGTTAGCCTTGCCTGTTTCCAACAATACATGGGATTCTGTGTAGTTGGCGAGATGTACGTGCGTTGGTGTCTTTATTCGAGAAGCATTAGTCGGTCGTGCAGAGAGTACGTCGAGAGAACGTTCCTTTGACTGCCGCACAAGCACGCGACTTACACATTAACCCTTTGTGTTCACGCTGTAATAAGTGAGCGTGCGAAAACTGCTTGTGATTTCTCCGAACAGGTAGGCTTTTGTCATGCAATATGTCGCGACCTTTTCCTCATTCCCAACTTCGCGTTTTCTGACGCGTTTTGCGTTGTCAACAATATTTTATTCCCTTGTTACTGTGTGTCGTAAAATCTCATAATAATAAGATAGTATATACGGTTTTATTCTATGTTTTTAAATTGATTTGTTGCGATTACGCGTCGAAGGTTGGACAATGTTTTGCTTCATAGCCAATTTGTTAAACGCCTTAGAAGAACTGTGGAATATATTTCAATATTCCAATTCATTAAAAATTTACGGTATTTCATTGTAAAGCTTACTATACACACAGCTCAAAAGAAACGAGAGCATAAACGTAGACGTTTGTTAAAGTCTTTACGCAATAAATACGTCAAAATCCAAAATATTTTCAACACGTAGAAGTAGATAATAGAAAATATTGCTATGAATTTCTTTATTTCCCGCATCAATCAAACAATGAATGTCGATCACAAGGCCATTCTTATTTGATATATTACGTATGTGTATAACTATTATGCCTGTTACACGTCGAAATGTGATAATGTTATAACGCTTGGCTTTTATTTTCGAGAGAAATTGTATTTTCATGAATGCATAAACCACAGTGCACCAGGAACGTATCTCCGCAGTGGCACCTTTCTGGTGAGAGTGCTATAGAAACAGAAATTATATTGTTAGCACGAGCTGAAGCTTGCAACAGAAGACAGCATATATTGCGTAAACCACAATCATGACAAATGCTGGGAGTGTTGTCCCCCTTCACTTGTTTTCAAGTGATCTGTTTGCTACAAAAATAAATGCAATTTATAATAGACTCTAGCTCGGCTCGTTGCGGAGAGTCATTCCTGTCGCACGTTTTTAGAGCTCTTGTGAATCTATATAATAAAGCGCATAAGCCCATAACCGCAGATAAAATATTTGAATATTTGTAGAAATTACGTTTTTGCAAATCATGAGTACCTCGTTTTAGAACAGCTTGTCAAAGATTGTAATTATTATTCTTATTGACGCACAGGAAACAATCATTCATCACTATTATTCCATACTTACTGCTGAATAATCATAGCTGATTATGTTTTCTCGTAAAAGTGATTAAACATTAAAATTATAATTTGTAATAATTTTCGTATTGCAATGGATGTGTATCGTAATGCAAGGGATTGATCAGACATTGTTCATTTCACAGAGCTCGCGATATTTTGATGAAGTTTCGCGACAACGAAGACTTCAAGGTGTCAAAATACAATCCCCTAAAGCATTCACGTTTCATCAGGAGCATTCTCTGGTAAGTTTGTATATTAGTTATAATTATTATGTATCAACTTTCGAAAAGTGTGTAAGTTTTGTACTGAGATTTAGAGAACCGTCTCGTGTATATGTTGTATTCATATTAGTTTTTAATATTTTAGGAGCTGTACGCTTATATCAGGAAGTGCCTGTATTTGGTTTGCTCTGAAAGTTCTGTCACCTAAATTTAAAATGTAAGCAATTAAGATTTTATTTTTATTTCGTACTGGAATCTTTCATTTCTGCTACGTTATGTATTCTGTTACATTACATTATATTGTGATAATTTATCTGTGATAGAACAACTACTTTTGTTATAACACCATTACTTGCGCCTGTATGAAGTTTTATGTAAATCTGTAAAAAATAAAGAAGTTATTAAAGAATCTGTTGTGTAATATTGACACTTCCTTCTCAATCCACCTTCTTCGACGAGATCAACCTCTTCCAACTTGGTAATTCCTACTGGGCATCTTTGTCTTTAGTCAGATGTTCTGCTTTCTTAAGCCCCCTGTTTACGAACCCCGGGTTAGAAATGTGCATAATCTCAAAATTATGTAAAATTAATTCCATTATTTTTCTATCCAATTTAATCGTGAAAGTCTAGGTCTTTCTGTTGTTTTTTTTATTAAACGCTGAACATGAATAGAATGTTTACCCAAACACTGTATCAGGTCCATTTAATTATAAAAAAAACAGAAAAAGTAATGTGACGTTAGTGAAAAAGACAACCAAAATTTAGTGTTCAAAGGCGTAGCTAACGACACTTTTACTCGGGCATTTAATTAATGGATCAAGGAAAACCGAAGAAGAAGAAGAAAAAGGGGAAAAATTAAGGTGGGCTGTTGACCAAGAAGCTGATTACGAGGCGCATCCAGAAAGTAATTTTCCCAAGGTCGTCAACAAAAAGAAAACGCAAAGTAATGGACAAGCCTTATTGTAGCAGATACATCACATGTTGCACTTTTTTTTTCACACAACCACCTTCAAAACCGAAACATTTGTCATACCATGGATCAACGTTTGTATCTCTGTCGTAGAACTCTGCTGTGTGTAATGGGTAACTGTGATTGCCAGCCACCTGCGACTATTGAATCACTTCGATACGCATAATGCTGACCAGACTGGAATTTTGTGAGATGTAAGAAAAGATGGAAAATGCCGGGGTTGAGAGCCAGACTATAGGATTGTTAGTCAAACACCTTCCAGTGAAATCGTTGCAGATCTGTTGTGAAACGAGTCGTGTGAACCCACTCCGTAGTCTAGTACGGAATGACGAATCTCTTAGTGTTGGCGATGATTATGTGCATAACATGTGCTGCATCTGTTAGCGGTAGCGAATTACGAGGGGCGGCATGTGTCCGAACAATCGCCCATATTTTTTCTTGAGAATATTTCTTGAACGAACGCAAACTACGGCATGTAGTGTGCGACAGATTTGCAAGAAACGCGACTTTAATCCTTACCTAAGGCAACTTTTACATTTATAACGGAAGATACAACTCTACACAGAAAAGTCATTTTTTTTATTTAAAGCCAATAAAACAGTAATTAATGAAATAAGGTGAAAGGGTTAATATTGTTAGCATAGTTGAAAGGCGATTTTATGGAAAAAACCATAATGTCAACATTATGCCCCCACCCAATTCTCAGCTCTCTCAATCTACCTCATACTTCCATTGCCTAGAATGCACAGACCACGGACGGCATTGTGATAATTCATTATGCGACCCATTCTAAAATCATTGATAATTTGCTTACGCAGGAGCATGAAATTAAAGTTGGTCCTCAAAACTTGCGCCAGTGCTATACCCAAATTAATCGAGCCGATTTATTGTTTATTTAATATTCCTGCAACTTTTCCAGTGATTGTTTTTTTTCGGGAGGGCACCGCCCTAGCGACCTTAAGGAGCAGCCGCCATTGTCTGCTACATTTTTGTCTCCCTTTAAATTGTTTTCATCATGTTGATGACCTAGGAAAACTTTCTTGGCCTCCTGGAGAAACATTACAGACTTATCCAGTCTTTTAGAATTATAAACATACAAAGGATAACTAATTAATTAGTGTCATTGCCAGGAACGTATTCAGTATTATGTAACGCTCAGTTCACGAGCTGGGGCCATTCAAAGTTGCGTTCCATTACGAAGCCGTTTTCTCTTTTAAAACAATGATTTACAATGTGCAGAAAGTTTATGTTGGCCCAGATCCTTGTATAAGTTGTACCCTTTGAAAGAACTGAGAGACATTGATATAATGCGTTATTACATTTCTGGAGTGTAAGTACAGACAATTTATTACGTTGATTGATTAGTGAACTGCTAAGGTCATTAGTCCCGTAAGTGTAGTGCATGTTTTTTCTAGCGGTAGCGATGGTCTTCCCCCGCGGGAAGATTGTTTCCACCCGTTTGTGAGGGTACTGCTCCCGCATTCGCCTGGTGTTGATCGGAGAAACCACTGAAAACAACCGATCAGAGCAACCGGCCGCTAGAATTCTACTTCCACCACTAGAACTCGACCCAGCTGCTTATATATAACCGAAACTCCGACCACCGTCGAGACTTGAACCTGGGACCTCCCGGTCAGAGGCACTGAAGTGACATGAGATGATGCCCAGAGCCACCTCTCCCGGTATTTATTTCGTAGTGTTAATTTTGTTCAATGTCTATGTTTCAAGCACTATAGAAAGAGAGGTTACGGATACTACTTCCAGTATACAAAGTGTTGAAGAAGATATTGCAATTCGTGGAAGCTGAGAAGCCAGTTTGCAAGTGGCTCTGGACCGCAGGGGGCAGCCCGATTTCAGCCTCATGCGGCCTAGCTATCAGCTTTAAGCACCGATCCATAACGCCGCAAAGCTTTTGAAAACGGCCATGTAATCTTTATTTTCTCATAAAGGTCACCAGTAAATGTAGCTTGATTATTAGAGGAAACTTCGTTTTGAAGGTAATCTAGTGGTTCGTCGAGCTCATTTCTGTGGGGACTTCCTTTGATTACTGTAAGAAACTTCGTTGTGCACCTGGGATGGTAAAAAGTGTGTAGATTTTTTTATTAAATCAATGAAGCATTTTAAGAAGTAAATAAAATTTGAAAATTGTTAAAAAACATCAATTGTCACTCGAGTTTTAGCTTTGAAATTGTGTTTTTTGACTCATTGACAACGAGTTGTTCAGGTTTCCTTCCCTTAGTAATTTCTGAGTAGTCGAATTGCTGATATCATAGTTTAATATTTACAATTCGTTATCCCATAGTCGCTATCTAGGCACATTAAAGAAATAAGTTATTGTGAGACTGAAAAAATGTGAATCCAGAAATGCATTTGATATACATGTATTGCAAGAAAACAAAAAGAAAATGGAATTGTATAGTTGTGTAAGAAGAGAGTTACTCTCTCAAATAATAAAATATGCTTTCAACGAAAGACGTTCATCCTCCCTGTTCATATATCTTCACGATACTACTTTAAATGGGCTTTTTGCATCTTGATCCTCATCAGTTAAACGAGAAACAAAAATATTTTTGAGTAAAAAAAAATATTTTCTGAAAATAACAAAGTTTTTTAAAAAAGGGGAAAAATCGCAGTTTCTAATGGAATGTCTTGACGACATAATGTGTGTTGTCAAACGTTCAGGAGGATTGACGAAATATCTAGAATGGAACCTGAAAGGAAGAGATTCTAATGTATTTTACGGTCAATGGTCAAGGGACGACACGTGGAAGAAGAAAACTCATAAGCCCACGTGTAGGTCGGCGCCGACGGTCAGCGAGGAAGAAACGCCGCCAACTCCTTTGATATTACTTACACTACACTTCCGGGACTAATGATCTTAGCAGTTGACACGTACGGATACAAAATAATTAGTATTCTTCCTCTCAATATTATGTAGTGAGTCGTTTTGAACAAATTGTGATAGCTAGCCGTTCTCCGTAAAAATGTAATAGACAAATATCTAGTAGTGTTAAAGAACGACATAGATTTTCCCGCACTAGTTAGTTTTCTATCTCTTTAGTCCAGGGTAGCTTTTCAGTATTGTTCCATCTACTTCTCAGCAGTTCCCTAAACGACATCTTCCTCCCTTTTCAATTTTTCGGTCTCCTAATATAATTGAAATATTTCCTTAAGAATATTACAGGGGAGTAAAAGACGATCTTACATGCAAAAATATTCATTGAACAATTTGGGGCTATTCTTGAGAAAATGTCGTTTTGCGTTACCGCAAAAATACGCAATTTCGAGCTCATTTTCACATACTTGTTTTGAATTTGCGATAACCTTCTCTTAAAACTTGTATTTTTTACCAATTTGCGCTCTTTTCACACTTCTAATTTATTTTTGCACAATTTTTCTTGTGTTTTATTCTAGAAAGATCAATCTGAGTTACGAAGACAATTATTTAATAACTGCTCAAAATACCCAGGTGCCAGGTTTTTCAAATTCAAGTCTCGTACGTTTCATTAAAAAATATCCCTAACAAACTGATAGGTTTCTTAGCACAACGGTCCAGAAATTTCCTTATTCATAATTAAATCGTGTGAGGGCAATTTCAGTGAGCTAAGTAATTGTAAGCATTATTTTTTTTTAATTCACTTGACTTCTGATAGTTAAAACAATATTCATTACGCGTGCACTCGATAGAGCAAATCGAATTGCAATGAAATCATTCGATTCAATGAACATCAAACAACAGTCAGAAAGTCCCTTACAGACAATGAGAAAGCATCAACGTTTATGGTTTTCTACGATATGACTAATGACGAAACAAGTTCCATGTAAATTATTTTCAAGAATATTTATAATGCATTTCTTTTGATAATCATAATTCACTACTTTTTCAACCTCGAGAAAGAACGTTTAACTTACTCCTTGTGCATAAATAACACTACTCACTTTTCCCCAAGCCTCGTGGAGAGTTTGGGCAACTACCTCAGAACTGTTCCAAAAAATTGAATTCAAGTCGCGAGTCGCAGCTCTAAAACGGAGCGCAGTTTCCCATTCGCAACGCGCGCTGGCACGGTAACTGCTCACTTGTTGCTCTACACCTTCGCTCGCAAGGTGCGATAGAGGCCTTTTTTTCCCTTTCTTTTCTTTTTTCTTTTTCTCTGTCCGTGACACAGTGATTCTTGCATCAGAAAGGCCAACCACTTGTTTGCATTTTTCTCTTTTGTGATTTATGCTGATTTTTCCTACTTATATTTTCGTCTTTAGAATGATTTATTGCCCGTTGAAAATAAGATACGTTCGCACTGTGATTTCTGTGATTGCGCACTTCGCGTTTGCACTGTGATTTCTAGAAATAGCCATTGTAGTTTACGCTTATGATTTAAGTCTAGATGTGTTGTATTTTACCTGGGTAGTCGTGTAATCTTTTTGGGTTGTGACACGCAAAA